GCAGTTACTTTCTGCACTGTTGTTGCAACCACCACCATCAGATCATTTGTGATCTGATGGCTGGGAAGCACTCTGCCGTGATTTCAGGTGGAGGTCTCTGTTTCTTTTTTTTTTTTTTTGCCTTCCTCCTGTTTTCTCACCCCAGAAATTCGTAATCAACCTGTAATCCCGCTGCCACTCCGTGTCACACTGGAGCGGCCAAACTCCTATCCTACTGCTAATGGGACCATACCCCTGGGGAGCAACAGTCCGGTTCCTATTCCACCGGCAAGTCAATATGAAATACATTGGAAACTCACACACGCTCCTCCCCATTATTGCAACCTCACTTTTGTTTTAAATTTGCAAGAGGAGTTTTCTCAGTACACGACAAAGGAACAGCAGACATTTCGACGACAAGCGAACACAGAAACTCTCAGTGGCTTCACTCAAAGAGAACACGAGCTACAATACATTGTACAATCAATCTTTCAGAAGACTCTCCCCGTACAGCGCATTAATCTTTAAGAAGACTCTCCCCGTACAGCCCATTGTTCCTCCATTTCTCCCTTCTCCCACTCTGCCCGCCAACCACGTAAATAAAATCCGATGCACCCATGAACTGTTGAGAACAACAGACCTGAGTTCGAATCCAGAAGGAACATTGGAACTTGATAAATGAAAAGAAAAGAACGCATGAACCCGTTAAGAATTCGACCCATGATTCCATGAACCCGTTAAGAATTCGACCCATGATTCCATGAACCCGTTAAAAATCAGACCCGAGTTCGAATCCAGATTGAACTAAAATAAAAAGAGAAACACTCATTTTATGTCGAAGCATCATAATCGCCTTGAGGGCGTCCGATCTCAACTTACAATGCCAAAGAAGTCGGTCGAACTGCAGGAGCCAAACACTAAAACGTTTTTCTTTCGCTTTGAACTGTTTAAAAACACAACGGAGGTCGAATCTAGATGGAACGAGATAAACGTGAGAAAACACAACTGAGTTCGAATCCAGATCAAACTAGTCAAACGAATTGGGAAAAACAAAACACTCGATTTATGTCGAAATAAAGTCGCCGTGAGGGCGTCAGATTTCCAATTACAATACCGCCGAAGCATTCGATCCATCGAACGCCCAGAACCAGAAACACCCCACCATTCCGTCTAAAGCTCTTTTAAGCGTGGTGTTTGTTTGATCTGTTTCACCCCCACAGATAATAGATTGAATAAAAAAGATCGACTTATTGCAGGTCACCCTATACCTCCCCCTACTCCTCTTTCTCGTTTCCCTACCCGCCACAAGCTACCCAAATTACATATAGTCTCATTATGATTCCGCCAATCAGAAATCACGAGGGAAAAACACAATCGAGTGCCCTCGCAATGACTGCTCTCAACTAATTAGCTACTACCTACCTACGCACACAACACACACACACACTGACACGCCTACACCCTCACAATGATCTAAGCCTTGGAGATGTGCTCAATCAACTCCACCACACGGTTGGAGTAACCCCACTCGTTGTCGTACCAGGACACCAGTTTCACGAAGTTCCCGTTCAGGGCAATCCCCGCCTTGGCGTCGAAGATGCTCGACCGAGCATCACCGATGAAATCCGACGACACCACATCGTCCTCCGTGAACCCCAAGATGCCCTTCAGATCGGTCTCGGAGGCCTTCTTGATTACAGCCTTGATTTCGTCGTAGCTGGCGCTCTTCTCCAGCCTCACCGTCAGATCCACCACAGACACATCGGCGGTCGGAATACGGAAAGCCATGCCCGTCAGCTTGCCGTTGAGCACAGGAAGGACTTTGCCCACAGCTTTGGCGGCGCCCGTTCCGCTGGGAATGATGTTGAATCCAGCCCCACGCCCGCCCCTCCAATCCTTGCCAGATGGCCCGTCCACGGTCTTCTGCGTGGCCGTCACGGCGTGCACGGTGGTCATGAGTCCCTCGACGATGCCGAAGTTGTCGTTGATGACCTTCGCAAGAGGCGCCAAGCAGTTGGTCGTGCAGCTCGCGTTCGAGATCACGTCCAGATCCGGCGTGTACTTCTCCTCGTTCACGCCCATCACGAACATCGGCGCGTTGCCAGAGGGAGCAGAGATGACCACCTTCTTCGCGCCGCCTTTCAGATGAGCAGCCGCCTTGTCCTTGTCCGTGAACACACCGGTGGACTCGACCACGTAATCCGCACCTGCCTCTCCCCACGGAATCGCGGAAGGATCCCTCAGAGCGAAAATGGCGATCTCCTTGCCATCCACGATCAGCTTCTTGTCGGCCGACAGACCGACCTCGCCCTTGTACTTGCCGTGCACAGTGTCGTACTTGAAGAGGTAGACGATGTACTCGGGATCAAGGAAAGGGTCGTTCACAGCCACCACCTGCACCTGAGGGTGGTTGAGGGAAGCCCTCAGGACCAACCTTCCGATGCGGCCGAACCCATTGATGCCGATCTTCACCACCATCTTCGCTTCGCTTCGCTGTGCTTGCTTGCTTGCTTCCCAAAACGCACAGAGCTCGAATGTCCGACGCCGTTGCTGGCAAGCTGCTTAGTTGGGAACTTGCGGCGCCCGAGGGAATCTTTATTCGTTTTCCGGGCACGCCAGCCTTGATTGCCTCCGCGCCGGCCGAGCCTGGACAACTCGCCTGCAAGAAGACTCTGCAGTGTCGTTTTTCGCCTACGCCGGCCAGCTCCTAGCATTATTGCGCCCCGGCATGATTTGAGCCCATGTCACTTCCGCCGCTGGCCACATACCTCTGTCCCTTGTAAACCCATGTTGAACTGGCTACGGTAGTGGCGGAATGAACAAACAAAGATTGTGTGGTGTTTTTTTTTAAATTAACTGCTGTTGACTCTTCGTTTGGGAAAAGGAGGTCGTTGTCATCACGGGACGTGGCCGTGGACGGACGACTGGTCCTTGTATGGGATTACCCCCACCCTTAGTACGTCTTCACAAGAAGGCTGGGGATATGTGGCAATAGCCTGTAGAGGGGTTTTACTTCAGGAGATATGGCGGGCAAAAAACTCAGCTTAAAGATAAAAGAATATCAGTGCAGTAGCAGCAGTGCCAAGTCAAGAGGAACATTCGATTTATGATCCAGGCGGGTTGGCAGGCGAGCTGTAAGAGTAAGGGAAAAGGCTTCAACTGGTTTTGGAAATCGTGGGCAATTGGTCATTTGCAGATGGCTTAACTTGCAGTAGGGACTTTACAGTAGGAGAAAGCGTCCTACTAGCGAGGGGGCTAGCTGGTAGGATGGTAATAGGGTACAGCAGCAGCGGAGATGGTGGCTCTGCTGCAGTACGACTTGAAGGAGTGAGGTAATGAGGATGGAGGGGGGTCTGATTTTGTTCCTGAATTTTTGCCTATTTTCGGTAGCTTGTTTGTATCTCTTAATCTAACCCTTAGCCAAAGCCAGGTAGTGGCCCTGGTACTGCAAATTGTCAAAACTTTTTCAAAATCCTATGTAATTTCTATATGGGACGCTCGGCCCGGTTCCCAGCACGTGTTGCTCCCCACGAATAGATTGGAGCTTTGTATAAAAAAAAAAAAAAAAAAAAGAGTAGGAGATTGGCCTTGTTGTGTGGGTGCAGCTCCCGCATGTTCAGCACGGATGTGGCTGCTACGGGGGTCCCCCGTAATACTATAATGACAATAAAAAAGGCCTGAAAGGCCGTCCTGTCCAGATTTGACAGGTAATTGAATTGGTTGGGCCTTTTCTTTTATTAAAAAAAAAAAAAAAAAAAAAAGACTTGAGCAGCTTATGTATTTCGAGATTTTGGGGTTTTGAGCTTCAAGGATTTTAGTAAGAATTGGGCAGAGAAGATGCTCAAAATCCCAAAATCTCGAAATACATACGCTGCTCAAGTTCACAACAAGGCCATCTGCAAATGACCAATTGCCCACGATTTCCAAAACCAGTTGAAGCCTTTTCCCTTACTCTTACAGCTCGCCTGCCAATCCGCCTGGATCATAAATCGAATGTTCCTCTTGACTTGGCACTGCTGCTACTTATCTTTGAAAATAGCTGAGTTTTCGAGATTTGGGGATTTTGAGCTTCAAGGATTTTAGGAAGAATTGGGCAGAGAAGATGGGACACTGGACCGGTTTCCAGCACAGGTTAATACCGGGTTGTTTTGTTGAGGATTCCCGGCCTCTATTCCATCATGCAATATAATATAATTGTGATTACTTCCAAAAAAAAAAAAAAAAAAAAAAAAAAAATGTGTCCAGATTTGTTGAAAAGGAATTGTTAGGATTGGACACCGGCAGGGCATTAGATTGAAGCACTGTGACGCCCGCGACTTCCTGATCGGAGTGGGATAGGGGCCTGGAAGTGCGAAAAGGGGTGTGCGAAGGATTTTTGGAATTTGTTATGGAGTCCCAGGTCGGAACTGAGATCTCCTGTGACAAGCTTAGGGGCAGTTGAGCAAGATGGTAACCCTGAATTATGTTGGATCCCGGGAGACCGGGCTATCTCCTGTGCGAGGGTAGCCGTCGTGGTCGGTCCTGTATCTGATGGACCGTCGGGACGCTGTGTGTGTCACGCTGGGCGATTAGCCGCTGGCGCCGCTCGCGGCAGACCTCGGAATCTGACGAGGCTGGTCTCAGTCGGAGGCCATGTGATCGCTGGTCTGCTTCAGTCCAGGTTCGTCGGACGAATCCAGCCGTGCGGTAAGCGTGGTCTTGCTGGCACTCTGAACACAGGATCCGGGGCCAGTAGGGGCCGATTGCGCACCAGGGGACCGCCGTAAGGCAGTGGAAGGGGATTACGAGGCGGTAGGGAGGGTAATTAGTCTCGACAATGGCTATTCCGGATTCAGTGATGACATGGCGTGTGTGCGAGTGGGGAAATTGCGGCAAGGAGGGGATCGCGCGTATGACCCGTTCAATGTCCCACTCGCATACTCGCTCGGTTCCAGTGAGGTAAGGAAATTCCGGACACGGGGCCCGGGGTCGCGCGGCCTGATAGGTGCGCTCCCATTCCCAATGCTCCCGGAATCGCCAATGCCTCAGACTCCCGCGATCTGTGACGTAAAAGGGAATCTCAACGTCCATATCGGCGGAGAATGGTTGATTCCATCACAGGTTTCCGTGGGCGAGCTTCGTGTACACGCGTGTAAGCCGCGTTCGTGCAATCGCACTTACACGTGGCCACACGAGGTCGCCTGGAAGGGTCCATTCTGGTGACACCGCGGTCTTCCCAAGATCCGTCGTTCAATCGTCTATTCTAAAGAAAATTCCAGGTTATGCAAAAAAAGCAATCCCCAAATCAGCCATCCATATCCTTTGACAGGATCAATCATATGACAATTATCCCACCACTTCCTCCCGGCTCGCAACGCAATCATTCAGTGATTTGGACTTTCTGTGGGATCGTGTAACATATGCCCGTTCAATCTTCATACGTACATACATACATCCATTCACTCATGCATAAAAAGGGCGCCGATGAGCATAAACATCCAATCAACCCAAGACATTCAATCCACCTGACCAACAAGCATCAAGGAGGAGAAGGGAGGATAGATTAGTACGCAAGGACGCAAGATTCGGCAAGAAGGAGGGGGAAAAAAAAAAAGATCAGAAGTGAAAAACGATGGCGTTTCGCCTGAACCCAAAACTTTATACACGAGGCAGATAAGGAAAGGTTGCAACTCCACACCCGCCTATTCCTCACTCTCTCTCTCTCTCTCTCTCTCTCTCTCTCTCTCTCTCTCTCTCTCTCTCTCTCTCTCTCTCTCTCTCTCTCTCTCTCTCTCTCTCC